GTAGGCATTTCAGTTATTCTTCACCTTCTGCAAGCAAGGTTGAGCCATTTTCACAATGCAGGTTGTTGATGAATCTTCTGATCCTGATAACACATTCCCTGTCAAGTCAACTATGAATCATAGTTACCATATGAACATCAGGTCTGAACCTTGTCCTATCTTGCACCATCCTCTCAATCTTTGTCTTGCTTAAGCTTATTGTGACAGTCACTGCATCAATTGTTAATTGTTAATCTTGTTGAGGGTGGCCTTCCTCTCTTTTGTTAACCTTTCCCAGCATGATGTCTCTCTTGCTAAGGAGTGATTTCTCCTTAAAATATGTCCAAAGTGAGACAAAGTTTCACCATCCTTGCCTCTAAGGAGCAATCTGGTTATATCTGAAGGCAGATTTGTTCTTCAACAGTCCATGGTATATATTCAAAACCTTTTGTCAACATTACAATTCAAAGGTACCTGTCTTCCTTATTTAGTGTCCAAATTTCAGATGCAGAGGATGTAACTGAAAAAAACCAAAGTTTGGATCAGACACACCTTAGTCTTTAAACTGACATGCTTGCTCTCTAGAACTCTGGATAGGCACCTGACAGCAGATTTCCTTAGTACAATACATCTTTTTATTTCATATCTGCTACTACCGTGGGTGTTGATTGTGGATCCAAGTAAAATTAAATCCTTGATAACTTAAAATTTTCTCCATCTATCATGATGTTGCCTACTGGTTCAGTGATGAGGATTTTCTTTTCTATTTTTTATTGGTATGCATACAAAATTCATATACATTGTGTTTTGTTTCATGTAAATAATCTTTAAGAGCCCAGATTCTTGAATTTAACTTTCTTCCTCATGTAATCTGTGAAGCAGTTTTTTTTGATCAATAGTCCAAGCATCAGTTTTTATATTTTTCTATTTACACAATTCCTTTAGTGTTCTTCTAAAATCTCATAGCTTTAAATATCATCCAAACATCCAGTTATTATGGAAACCTCATATGTGTCAGAGTTAATTATGCTACTCTCAATTTTCAATGGTTGCGCTTTAAAAAAAATTATTGTGATTTTAACAAAAGTTTACAAAAAAGTTGAATTTTCAGTCATTGTTGTACAGTTTCCTTCTTCCACATCCCTTGCCCCAGTTAATGTTTTAAAAAATTTTTAATTTTTTGTTGTACATTTTCTCTCCTCATTCTCTTCCCCCCTTCTCCAGCCCACCCAATAATGGACCCCTTATTCCAGATTGTTGTCATACGCATAAGGCCTTCTTATATATTCCTCTCAGATAGTTCTTCCTCTCATCTGTTCTACTGCAGTTTTTGTTACATATCCACTCTTTTTCCATTCTCTCCCCGTCCAAATGCTGTCTGTCCTATTTTATAACAGCACTGTTAGGCAGTATTTGTCCTTTTGTGACTGAGATATTTCACTCAGCATAATGTTCTCCAGGCTCTCCCATGTTGTGTAATGCTTTATGAGTTCACTGTTTTCAATTCTACATAATATTTCATTGTGTGAAGTTACCATAGTTTTTTATCCATTCATTTTTTTGTTGGGCATTTGGGTTGCTTCCGTCACTTTGTTATTGTGAACAACGCAGCAAATAAACATGGGTATGCACAACGGTTGCTTTTTTTCCCTCTTTTGCTTTTAATGAAACAGATTGTCAGGCTTTTCTTGTAAGGCATCTCTGAGAAGACTAGAACCACTATCTTTTCAGTTAACAGTCAAAGCGCTAATCATATGCACTACATAGGAACTCTAATTGTTGATGCTATGGAATTCTTTAGACTCAGTGACTCTAATGTACAAGAAAATGAAACACTGCTCAGTCTTGTTCCATCCTCAATATTGTTGTTAGGTTTGAGCCCATTGTTGCAATCACTGTGTCAATCATCTCACTGAAGTTCTTACTCTTTTTTTACAAAAAAATGGCTCAAAATGGCTGCTGTGCTTGTGTCCATTTTTACAGCCATTGTGTCAATACATCTTATTAGATCTCCTTTACCAAGCATGATACCCTTCTCCAAGGACAGGCCTCTCCTGATGACATACCAACGGGAGATGAAGTTTTGCTATTTCACTTTTAAGTAACATTCTAGTTGCCCTTCTACCAAGCCAGACTTGATTGTTCTTTTGGCAGTCCTTTGAATTGTCAATATTCTTTAACTGCACCATAATACAAGGCCATCAATTCTTTGTTTTTCCTTATTAATTGTCTAGCTTTCACATACATATTAGATGATTAAAAATATGATAGTTTGGACTAGGTATACATTAGTCCTCCATGTGACTTCTTTTCTCTGTAGCACTTCAAGCAGGTAGTTAGCAGCAGATTTGCCCAATGCAAACTGTAATGTATTTTCTTGACTGCTATTTCCATAGGTTTTAAGAGGATTTTTTTTATTTTTAAAAATTTTTTTGTAAACCCTTTTTAAAAATTTTATTAGTGTGTGTGTGTGTGTGTGTGTGTGTGTGTGTGTGTGTACCATCAAATCAGATCTGACTGGTAGAGGAGGAGACTGCCCCTCCTTCTCCAGCAAAGCATCTGGTGGATTTGAACTGTGCGCCTCTGAGATTGCAGTGCAGCTTTTTGCCACTAGAGGACTTTTTTTTTTTTATGCTGAGATGTAATTCATATTGAAGTCTGTAATCCAATCTTCCACAGTAAGAGTTTCAAATCTTCTTCACTTTCTGCAAGCAAAGTTGTGTCATCTGCATAATGTAGGTCTTCCTCCAATCCTGATGCCACAATTATTCTTTATAGACCACAGTTTCCTAAATTATTTGCTCCGCATACAGACTGAATAGACATGGAGAAAGTATACTGATTAAACAGAATACTGAAAGTATTCTGATGCACACATTTTCTGATTATATGCAGTATTCTCTTGTTCTGTCTGGACAACTGCTTCTTGGTCTATGTAAAGGTTTCTCATGAACACAATTAAGTGCTCTGGGAGTCCCATTCTTCTCAAGTTTAGCCATAATCTATTATGATCCACACAGTCAAATGCTTTTACATAGTCAAAAAAACATCGATAGACATCCTTCTGGTATTCTCTGCTTTCAGTAGAGATCTTTCTGACATCAGTAATGAAATTCGGAGTGTGTTCTCCCCTTAAGGTTTTCTCTCTTTAGATCCTTGTACATTTCATTATAATTCCTTTTTTTGTGTTCTGGAGCTGTTCTTTGTAATATGTTCAATTCTTTTATGTCATCATTTCTAACTTTCACTTTAGTTTCTCTATGTTCTTGAGACAAGTTTCAGAATCTCCTCTAATTCTGGGCCAACCGGGGGCCTTCCTTCCTTCCGCCTGCCTGCCTGCCTTCCTCCTCCCTCCCTCCCTGCCTTCCTTTTTTCCTCCCTCTCTCCCTCCCTTCCTTCTTTCCTTCCCTTTTTAAGCACCTTTTGCTTTCTTTCTGTATGATATCCTTAATGGCATCCCAGAACATATTTAGTCTTAGTGTTTAATGGAGCAAATCTACTACAAACTCAAACAGAATATAATCAATGCAGTATTTTGGCTCTCCTGGACTTGCTTTCATTTTCTGTGGCTTCAATTTGAACTTGCATGGGAGCAGTTGATGGTCTGTCCCATAGGCATTTCCTGGTCTTGTTCTGATATTCTTTACTGTCTCTTTCCACAAGTATAGCTGTTTGATTACTGCGCATTCCATCAGATGAGGTCCATGTGGTATAGTCACCATTTATTATTTTTAAAAAGGTTGCTGTTGTTGTTATGTGCCATCGAGTTGCTTGTGACTCATAGTGAACCCTATGTACAACAGCCCTATACCTTGCTCTATCCTGTGCCAATCTTACTGTCTCTTACACAACTACCTTCATTACTCCAGTCACTGAATTAATCCATCTCATCCAGGGTCTTCCTCTCCTGTGCCATCCCTCTGTCCCTCCTTGCAATATGTCCAAAGTATGTCAGATGAAGCCTCAGAATCCTTGCCTCCAAGGTGTAGCTTTCTCTTAGCTGTTCATGGTACATTCAACACTCTTCTCCAGTACCACGGCTCAAAGGCATCAATTCTCCTTCTATCATCCCTAGTCATTGTCCAGCTTTCTGATGCATAGCAAGTAATTGCAAAGACTATTGCCAAAGAATCAGGTACACCTTAGTTTCCAGACTGACATCATTGCTCTTCAGTACTTTGGCAAGGTCTCTGACAGCAGGCTTTCCCAATGCAATTTGTCTTTTAATTTCCTGGCTGTTGGTACCAAGAGCGTTGACAGTGGAGCCAAGCAAACTGAAGCCGCTACTGATCTTAAAAATTCATATGATGTGATTCTGGTCTCATTCCTATTACCAAGACCATATTTTCCAATTACCAATCTTTTTTTTTTGTTTTCAACTTTAATTCCAACAACCAGTTATTATTAATGCATCTTGATTGCATCTCTGATCAATTTCAGATTGCAGAAAGTCTCAGTTTCTTCCTTTAGACTTTAGTGGGAAGCATGTGAATTTGAATAATTTTCACATTAACGGATTTTCCATGTATGAATATGAATATTATTGCATCACTGACAGCACTGTACTTGGGGAAAGATCTTGAAGTATTATATAGCCTTAAGATCTTGATCTATTATATAGCCATTAAGGATCTCATGGGAAAACATTACCATGTAACTGTTAAGATTTTTTAAAAAATATCAAGAGACTCAATTTTTGCTAATAATATTACAGTAAGTATACTGAGTAGAAAAATACAATATAGTTAAAAAACCCCACATTTCTCAGGTAATTAAAAGGGAAGGAGAAAACAGACTGTGAGCTAACCCATCATTCCCCTGTGGGCTTCATGAGGAGTAAGGACGAGACTGAGACTGCAGAATGTAGCTGCAGACAGTGAGGGGAGCTGGGGTTGTTCTGAGAGACAGACACTGAGGTAAATGCTATCTCTTGAAGTATATAGAATATTACCATTTACTAAGCCTTGGGAGGTAGCTCCCTAGGGCTGAGATGAGCTTGGGGAGTGCAAGGTGTCTCTTACCACTTCTCCAGTTTTTCTAATCTCTGTCTCAACACGGTTTCTGCCTCAGTGCGGGCATTTTTTGGCTGGACTTGCCGCTCTTCTGATTTTTCTTCTGATCTTTGATCCCCAGGGTCTCCAATACACGTATTCTGTTCCTGGACTTTCTCTTCTGATTTCTGGCACACGGGGGCTCCAATGCAGGCTTTTTGTTGTTGGACTTTCCACTCCTCTAACTTCGGCAGCAGTAGGTCAACTAGGGTAGTTAATCGGCCCAGTAGTGCTTTGGAGGCATCCAGCACCTCCTAGGAAAGAGACAGTGAGCACTGGGCACTGGGCACTTCTCATCATCTCCCTCCACCACCCAACCTGGGGGAAGGGGCCAGACCTTCCACATCCCTCATTTTCCCAGTGCCTTTCTGCCCATGCCCTCCATCCCTAAACTCCCACCTTCCTCTTTCTGTCCAATTCATTGGCAGTTTCTTGCAGACGCTGCTGTTGTCTGGCTAGATGAGGGTCCATAGAAGTTGTCTTCCCTGGAAGGCAGGAAAAAAACAGAATAGTGCTCAGGTCCAGGGTGCAGAACCCTCTCCTTCCTGACTAGGGTCTCCTTCAGCTCAGCCAGAGTTAGAAACTCTGGAGGGAAATAATGGGAAACCCAACAAAATACAGGTACTTCTAGGCTTGGGCCAGAAGTCCACTACGTCAGTTTCCATATATCTCACATATATCTCCTCCAAAACTTACGAATAATCCCCATTCCCTGCCACAAACCCTGGCAGTTCTAGAACTGCATGGAAGTTAGACTGTAGTTAGTAAGTTCCCAAAGCTTTTTCCTTCTGTTCTCATCCACTCTTGGTCTCCCAGCAGGAATCCATCTTTTTCCACCACCCAATGTGCTTCCTACCTGAGGCCTGGGTCTTATATCTGAACCAGAAGACATCCTGCTGGTCTTTCAATTGACTGATGGACTTCACTAGTTTCTGTAGAGGGGAAAGGATCCAGATGAAGTTGTTTCTGTGGGAGGAAGCGGGGCTGAGCTCCACTCATCTTGATTCTTGCCTTATCTACCAACCTCCATCATAGCCCTTAATTCCAGGATCCGCGATTCAATCTCATTCTGCTGGCTCTCCACAGGTGCATCGAGGGATGGCTCTCTTTGGTCCTGAAATAGGGGCTCTCAGAACATTTCAGGGAGCTCTGGTGGCATACACTACAGGAAGACATGCTGCCAATCCAAAGGCAGTACCTCTTTGGTGGTTAGAAAATGCACCAGCAGCTCAGTGAGAGAAAGACAGGGAACCTCCTCCCTTCCAATTTATAGCCTCTGAAAACCCAATGGAGGGTCAGCTATGAATCAGTCCCAACTTCATGGCAATGAAACTGAGAACATTTTGGAGTTTCTAGGTGACACAAGGAGGTCTGGTGGTACATGCATAATGTATTGAGCTGTTAACTGAAAGGTCAGTGGTTTCAAATCCATTGGCCCTCCACCAGTAGAAAGATAGGTATTCTTCTCCTATAAAGATTTACAGACTCAAAAATCTGATGGAGGGTCACTATCAGTTGGAACCAATTAAATGGCAATGAGTTTGGTGTTTTTGTTTGTGAGGTACAAAAGGTTAAGAGACCTATTACTAATTAAAAGGTTGGTACTTTGAACCCACCCAGAGGTATCCTGGAAGACAGATTGCGTGATCTGCTTCTAAAGGATCAAAACCTTGAAAACTCTATGTAGTGGAGTTTGTTTTTTTTTTACATCTTTATGTAAATGGGGTTGCCCTGAATCTGAAGTGACTCCTTAGCAACTGTGTGTGTTTGTTTGTTTTAGTATTATTTCAGATCTGATTGTTCATCTTTAAATTCAGGGCCTGAAATTACACTGTACGATGTGGAAGGACTCTGTCCTGAGACAAATTCCTTTAGATTTCCCATGGAACCTTTCTACTCCAAGAGCTCATAATATCACCACCAAACTCTTCTCACCAACTGAGCCTTCTGAGCATTGGAGAGAATCCTTTTTTCTTCCAGAAGGAGATTAAAGAGCATCTCAGTCAAACCTGTTGGGCCCTTGGGAAATGCCTAAAGTAGGATAACAGAAAGGGTTGATCCAACTCAGCTCCCCTCAATGACCTATCACCCTAGACTCTACCAATGTCCCCAGGACATCCCCTTTCCCTCAGAGTCTTAGATCTTTCCTCTTTCACCACTGGGTCCCTCATGCCCCGGCCCCCTCCCAATAATATCACCTAGACATGTGCCTCTCTCTTCTCTGCCAATGATCCCCAAGTCTTAACTCTGCCCTTTCCCCTAACCTGTTTCCCTTCCTTTGTACCTCCAGGTTCTCTTCCATATCCCAGCCCTGCCCTGTTATTCGAGCTATGCCAAATACCAGAATGTCCCGAGCAAATTTTCGCATGTTGTGCTGTAGCAACAAGTAGTTAGGGTCCTGACTGTAAAAGCCACAGTCATAGTTCAGCTGGTCCAAGAAATGGAAGAAGAGCATTTTAGCCTTGGAATCATCCTTGCCCAGAGCAGCTTCCTTCCTGTGGTCGAGGAAGAATGAAGATTAAGGTTTCTGCAAATCTACTGGTGTCCTTAGGCCTCTCAACCCCTTTTTGCTCTTACTGTCACCAGGGTCCTGGGTACTCAGAAGAGCAAACTACCTTTCTTAACTAACACCCCAATTTCCTGAAGGCCTCACCAGTTCTGATCTTCAATCCAGGCAGCCAAGTGCTGTCGAATGTCCATTGGCAAGGGGGTATTTGAGTAGAGCTGGTGCAGCTGATCCTGAAATGGGCTGTCAAGATTCTGCAGCATTTCCCACTGTGCCATTTGGAAAATGAATCTAAAAGATGAGCATTTCCAATTGGAAAAGTCAATGGATAAATAATCTGCAGTCTCATAACTGTTTATTACCAGTTAACATAATTGTTTATTACCAATTAAAAAACTGTTACTTACAAGAAATACCACCTACTCTCCATTAGAATGGCAATGATTGGAAAAAAAAAGTGAAAAACAATGGATGTCGTCAAGGTTGTGGAAATTTTGGAACCCTCATCCATTGGTGGTTGGAAAGCAAGGTGATACAGTCACTGAGGAAAACAGTTTGTGATTCTTAAAAGAGTTGAACATAAAACCACCCTCTAGTAAAGCAATCTCAATCCTAAATATATTCCCAAAGAAGGGCATCAGCAACAGAGATGTCTGTATACCAAGGTTCATGGCAGCACTACTCATCATAGTCAAGAGGTGGAAAAAACCAAAATGGCTGTTAACAGAAATAAACAAAAAGGGAGCTCTGACGGCCTAGTGGCAAAAGCTGTGCTGTAATACCGAAGGCACACATGGTTTGAATCCACCAGATGCTCTGCTGTAGGAGGAGGGGTAATCTCCTCCTTTGCCAGTCAGATCAGATTCAATGGTACAGAACAAGAAAAAGAGAAACAATAATAAAACCTCAGAAATAAACAAAAAGTGATCTATACACATAATGGACTACTACGCATTCACAAAGAGAAACAAAGTCCTTTCCATGCCACATACATGGATTTGAAAACATCATGCTGAGTGAAATAAATCTGTCACAAAAGACAAATGTAAAAACAACTATGAGATATCATCTCACCCCAGTAAAAATAGCAAAGTTCAAAAGAGCAGCAAACAATAAATGATGGCGAGACTGTGGAGAGATTGGAACCCTTATTCACTGCTGGTGGGAGTGTAAAGTGGTGCAACCACTACGGAAAGTGGTTTGGCACTTTCTCAAAAAGTTGGAAACAGAAATACCATTGGACTCAGAAATTCCACTACTAGGAATACACCCTAAAGAAACCAGAACCAGCATCCAAACAGGTATATGCACATCCATGTTTACTGCTGCATTGTTTACAACAACCGAGATGGAAGCACCGCAACAAATGAACAGATAGAAAATCTATTCTATCCACCACTGAAAAACAATGGACTCATAAAACATTATACAACATGAGGGACCATGGAGGACCTCATGTTGAGTGAAAGATCTCAGTCACAAAAGGACAAATACTACATAGCACCACTGTTACAAAGCAGGTCGGACAAGGGAGGTTGTGAGGCAAATCGGATAAGAGTGGATAAATAATGATCATCACATTGGAACAGATGAAGGGAAGAACTGTTTAAAAGGAATATGTGATTAGACATTATACATACAACAACAGCCCAGAATAAGAGGTACCTCATTGAATAGAGGACTGGGGATGGGGAGCTAGGTAACTGTACAACAATGAGTGAATTTTAAAAAGTGAACTGGTCGAGGGAGAAAGAGGAGAGAGGGGGTAGAATATGCAACAATGAATGAATGAAAATCTAACTTTTCTGCAAACTTTTGTTAAAATCACAATTAAAAGAAAACTTTATGATCTCATTTATATTAAATAAGCAAATACACAGGAACCAAAGATTATGAGTGATTATTAGAGATGGGAGCAGAGTGAAGAGGGACTTGGTTTTGCTTAGGAGGCACTGAGTTTTATGTTGATGATGATGATGATGGAATAATTTGGAAAAGGATCAAATTCACAAAACTAAAACTCACTCCCATTATGTTGTTTCCAAAATATAGTGACCGTCCATCAGGTTTCTGAGGTTATAAATCTTCATGGGAAGAGACTGCCCATCTTTCTCCCTCAGAACCACTGTTGGATTTGAACCCCTAGAGAAGCACAGCCTTTGGGTTACTTGGTTAACAGCACAACTCACTGTGTGCTACACCACCAGGCTCCCTTCGGAAAAGGCCAGCAGTGAGAAGAGCTGCACAACTTAAAAAATGTAATCAATATTACTGAATGACACACACAAAACTACTGATATAATGGATGTTTTATTATAGGTATTTCAATTTTACAAGTAATACATGAGTCTACTATCCTTGAAAAAAAAAATAAAATTAAAGTCTATGTCAATCCTATCCCTAATCTTTGTTCCTCCACCTCTGGAGAAGACATCACTACTAGAATTTGATGTGTATTCTTCCAGAGAGCATAGAACAGCTCCATAATGTATTTTAATTTCCTTAGTAATTTTCAAACACATACCAGAGTGACTTGTACAATCTCACATACCTATCTCCTGGTTTCAGTACATACTAATGCAATTTCCACAACGTTTATTTCATTTATCATCTCCCTCAAATTAATTTCTTTTACATCATTGCATGTATATATTTTTTGGTCTTAATTATTCATTACAGCACGATCTCTGTTAATATCAAGGTTTTTATAAAAGGGTTAGATCTCCTAAGAAATAAGGTAAGTCCACCCTATAAATAGCTCTTCATGCAGGAAAAATGTATTTCTTTCTAGATGTCGTTAAACAAGGGGTCACTCAGTTCCCAAGACTGTTACTGACTCTATTTTAATGCACCTTTCTGTCTCTCCTCTCCACCATGACCAGAGCATTATTCTTACTCAAACTACCTAAAATGTCAACAATTATGGCAAAAATATGTATACAACACAACTTGTGTCAACTCATTTTTTATACATACAAGTCAGCGATTATTTTCCATATCTGTTATCAAAATATTCATCACCGTTAACAGACACTCAATGCTTGTTCAACAATGATCTGCCCCGTTCCCTCTCCTTTCTAACCCTTCGTAACCACAATAAACTTCTGGTCTCTATATATCTATCTACCTTTGCTATTTCAAAGAAGTGATCATAGTTTAATGACTCACTTCACTAAGCATAATGTTTTCAAACCTGATTCTCAATGTGGGTTATCAACATGGTGAATAAACCAGAAATTTTACTCCAACAGGATTTTTTTCCCTGTTGCCAGTCTGAATCTGGCATCTTCCCCTGTCAAGCGCCATCTAATGTCTGTTTGAGGAATTGAAATTTATTTTTGTTACATCCAGGGCCAAATAACGGAGTAAAACAAATACATCTGTGTCTTAGAAAGTCACATGACTTTATTATGAAGCAAAGAAAATGTTTTCGATGAGATTCTCTTCCACCAAAATTAATGTGCTACCAGTCTATCTCTGGGAAGTAGATACACGGAAGCAGAAGGAGAGGGAAGGAGTAAGCGTTTTTAGTTATAATTGTAACCCTTTTACTAGTGCTTGACTTTTTTCCTGTAAGAATTAGATTGTGGTACAATATATGTAACAAAAAAATTTGTCATTTTAACAACATTTCCATCCCCTAAGTGCTTGACTTTTAAAACTATGTATCTGCATGCTTTTAAGAGACAAAAAGCAAGGAGTTTCAGTTCTTGAGGAAATAATTAGCTGATATAAGAGAAGGGCAGACAGCAAACTCTGAGATTCAAAAAATAAGGAAACTTGGTTTCATCTGGAAGACACCCAGACTGTAACACTTTATGATCTGTCCCACACATTTGTGCTCAGTAAGATTAACTAAAAAGAACCGAACTGGCATAGTCCACGGGAAAGTTGTGCTGCTAACCCAAAGGCTGTGCCTATCTAAAGGTTCGAATCTGGGCCCTCGCCTTCCGTGCAATTTACAGCCTCGGAAAACCTGCTGCAGAGTCAGCTATGAAATTGCTTCCTTCCGACAATAAAAGCAGTTTGTTTTTAAGCAAATCGCTTGACACAGCTGTGTCTTACATCCTTTACGTAACAAAAGAAGTTGTACCTAACTTTGTACAAATTCTTCTGGGAGGGGGGATGTGCGAAGAAAAAAAGTAATGCAGATAAAATAACAACAATAATAATAATGCAGTCCTAAGGCTGAGACACTGCAGTGGGATTTTGGATGGGGGCGCTAGGTTTTGGGGGATGGACGAGAAGGGGCAATAGAGGACCAATCAGGAGACGGCTCCCATTCTGGGGACAGAGCTGCCGCCTTCAGGGTGTAACCTCTAGGGCCTGTCTCACTTCTCAGGGAAGAACCCGTGCCCCCATCTCGGCGCGCTGTCAAAGCGTGTACCTGGTTGGGGTCGCAGCCCCTCGTCCCTTTCAGTGGTTCTAGCAGCGGCTTTTGGCACCCAGCGGCTTCTCCGACCCAGAGGTTGGAATGGGGAGCTCTAGCCCCGCCCTAGGTTTCGGAACGCCCCTTTCTTAGTGAGCTACTGTGGGCGGCTGAACCGCGAAGCCCAATCAGAATCTCTGACCGCGGCTGCCACTCAATCACGTTCAGCCCCAACTTCTCTGTACTGAGAGCTCATTGGTGCCATCATAATGCCAACTTCTCAGTGGGGCGGGACAAACAGAGGCGAAACCACACCTTCAAATGCAACGATTGGTTAAAAACCTCATGTACGCCCCTCCCCTCCCCGGGGAATAGCCTGTCTACGCTGTAGCAGCTGATTTCGGAGAAGCTGCTCATTATAGCTCAGGAAGCGAGACTGAACACGGGCGATGAGGCTTCGATAGGAAGACCTGGGACCGGAATTTCAACACTTAGGGACCGGAAGAGGAGGGCTGAAGTAATAAAAATGATAATAACAGCTGTTTATTAACGATACTGTGCTAAGCACGTAGGTTCATTGTACTGATTTTCAGCGGACCTGAGAACTGTTCTTGTAGGATGAAGTTCCTTCTCTGTGATCACAGAGGCATTGATAGACAAGTGGAACTTAAATTCAAAACCACGTTCCCAGGGAGCTCTGGTGGCCTAGTGGCAAGAAGTTGCACTGTAATCCCAGAGGTACACCGTTAAAATCCACCAGGTGCTCTGCTGGAGAAGGTGGGGCAATCTCTTCCTGTACCAGTCAGATTCCATTTGACGGGACACACACACAAATAATAATAAGATAAATTTTTTTTTAAAAAAAAACCCAAATCCTCCCAAACCAAGGCTTGGGTTTCCCCCCCACCCCTTTCTTTTCTTGTTGTGTACCGTTGAATTAAATTCGACTGGCACAGCAGGAGATTGCCCCTCCTTCTTCAGCCGAGCATCTGGTGGATTCAAACCACACACCTTCTGGATTGCAGTGCAGCTTCTTGCCACTAGGCCACCAGAGCTTCTTCAAAACCAAATTTTTAAATGCTTACCAGTTACAACACTACCTGCCTCCTGAATAATAAGATTAAGATTTGGAATTTAAACACACACATATACATATTGTCAGAATATTAGATTTATTCCTTATGTTTGTTATTGTGTATCGTCAGCTCCACTTTTTCTTACAGCAACCCCATGTGAAAAGTAAAACCTCAGCAAAGGGTTTCCTTGGCTGTAATCTTTATGGGAGCAGATTACCCGGTCTTTTTCACACCGAACTACCAACCTTTCAGTCAGCAGCCAAGCACTTAACCCTTGGACTGCCTTTCTTCTTTGTTTATCACGCACTTTTTATAGCATACGACTTTCAGGCTCTGGGTCCGAGTAATGCGTCTTGAGTGGAACCCACCACTTAGAAAAAATTGAACTTCCCAACTTGGACACCGCTGAAACCGCATTAGTCTCCTCCAGGTCTCTCACGTCTGTACTGTTCACTTTCTCATTGGTCTCTAGCAGAGAAATATTTGTCTCTTTCTCAAAGTAATTCTGGATCAACTGCTCAATCCCAGCTTTTACTGCAGGCTTAAGTGCAGAGCTGATCAACAGTCCTGTAGGGGTCCCTGACAGCCCTGCCATGGTCATCAGAAGGTCATAGCCTAGATCTATGGCTCCATCTTGGCCTCGGTTCTTGGCCGTATCCAAGCAGTTTTGAGAAGCATAGTACAAAGCGGTGCCCAAGTTGTAGAAGGTTCCTACTGTTGGCAACAAGCGAAGTACACGGTGCACATTCTGCTCTTGCTTCTGTTCACAATCTGCAGTCTGGAAGGACCGTCTAGTTCTTTCTGGGCCTGGCAGCTCCCTGGCTAGGAGCTGCAGAGCAAAGGGTTGGACATCTGCTGATGCTTCCTTCTGTGTTCTTCTGTCTTTCAAGAGCTCGTGAAGATGGTGGATGAGGAGCTGTGTGGCTTTCACACCTCCCAGGCGATAGAGCTCTCGCTCCACAGTCCAAGCATAATCCTGGCAGCCAGCCTTTTCAAGGGCATTCCTCAATGCCAGGCCTACTAGGAACCTGGGCAGAAGGCCCATGTTGGTGAAGCCGGGCAGGGACTTTGGGAGCAGAGACTGGCAGAGCATGAAGTCTGAGGAGGGTAGCTGGGATTCCAGGGATGGAAGGTGTTGCGGGACCTTTGTGGGAGTTTCCTGCAAAATTGCCTCCACAGGGTACAGAAGGAAGTAGCAAAGAAGCAGTATACTCTGCATCATGATGGGTCTGATACCACCCATGTCTGGAACAGAGTATGCTAGAGTGGAAAGAAACCCAAAGGACACAAAACATTTCCATAAGTAATGTGGTCTCAAAGGAGCCCAGGACTTAAAAGACATTATTATCATCTATCAACTCCAAGCTTCCCTTTTTTAAAAGTAAAGGCCTAGGTAATGAGAAATGGGACCCAATTGTTCTCACCTGACCTCTTCCATTTTCAGGTTACCAGGGGCTTCCTCCGCTTTTTTACCCATGTATAAACGAACACCCACTGCTATCAAGTCAGTTCTGACTCACGGCAAACCCGTGTTAGAGTAGACCTGTGCTCCATACAATTTTCTTGGCTATGATTTTTATGGAAACAGATTGATAGGCCTTTCTTTCATGGTCCCACAAGGTGGGTTTGAACCACCAAACTTTAGGTTAGTAATCACATGTGAGCCGTTTGCTCTCCTCAGAGACCACCCACTTATGGGAGCCCCAGGTTAGTTACCACACAATCCAGTCGCTGAGAAGTGAGCCTGCCTTGGTAGGACTGGTTGCTTCTTAGTCTCCTGCCCAGTTGTCTCTGCCTGGGAAGAAGAAAAGTATTTCTTTCTGCTATGATCAGTAAGGGATTTTAATCTCTGCAAATATTTGCCCTTGCTCAATCACTGTCCTCTTGTTACTCATCCTCAGTACTGAAAACCTTATCCTTTGGCATGTCCATGAGACAGATCCACTTTAGCTCATAACAGGAGCTAAAGGAGACCCAAAGTCAGGAGAGAGTATATATGATTCTGTTATTTTTCTTTTCACCTTAAGGCTTGAATAAAAAAGCTATAGAATCTATTTGGGGAATTTAGAAAACACAGGATAGATAAATGATAAGGTTAATATATCTCACATGACTAAAAACCAGTTGCTGTTGTGTAATCTCTCAGAGAAATTCCAGCTATGCCAGAACAGAACTGTTTCACAGGTTTATATTTATTAAAGAAAATCTGGTTGCTTAGTGGTAAGAAGTTGTGTTGTCAACTCAAAGGCACATAGTTCGAATTCACTAGCTGCTCCATGGGAGAAAGATAGACAGTTTCCTCCTGTGGGATTTACAGTCTCTGAAAACCCACTGGAAGGTCTACTAAGAGTGGTTCTGACTCAGTGGTACCTAACAACTATGTAATGGGCATAAGGGAGCTCTGGTAACCTAGTGGCAAGATGCTGTGCTGCAGTCTCGAAGGCACGTGGTTCAAGGCCACCAGCTGTTCTGCAGGAGAAGGATGGGCAGTCTCTTCTGGTACAATTAACTGCCTCTGAAAACCCACTGGAGGGTCAACTATGGGTTAGTTCCAACTCTACAGTACACAACAACATCTAGATATATGTATGTGTGTATATATTATATATATATATTTTAAAGTAGCTCACCAGGCCTTACTGTATAGGTGCCTCTGTATCGATTTCAACTTCCAGCTCTCTTAACATTTGCACCACCCAGGGTTTCTGCCTGTCATGATTAATACATAGTAATTGCACAATATTTAATGACTTAAAGCATGAAAAAAAGGAAGGAGAAAATAGGATAAGAAATAGGGGCTGAGACCTTCTAGGAGGAAAAGGACAAGACTAATACAGGTTACATGGGTCTTTTAACATTAGGATGAATTGAAGAGATACCTCTAAGAAGGCTCTATCATGTCTAACTACTTAATCTGTCTTGTTTCTCAATATAGACCTGAGGAAGGAGATTTATCACCTAGAGGGCATTATGTATCTGAAATAAGCCTCGACAAACTCCTGACTCTACTCTTGTAAAGTTCTTCAGTATAGCTGTTGTTGTGCACCATTGAGTTGGAACAGACCTACAGCTGACTCTCTAGCCGGTTTTCAGAGGCAGGTAATCACATGGGAGGAGATTGCCCATCCTTCTCCTGTGGAGCAGCTGGTGGACTGCCTGCCTTTGGGATTGCAGCACAGCTGCTTACCACATTTATTTTAAAATTTATGTCTCATCATCTATACACACTAAAGAGTGCTTTCCCACCACCACACATGTGGCACATTTACTTTTAAAAAAAAATTTAAATTTATTATTAATTTCAGTAAAAATTTACAGAGGCTTTGGATTTCCATTCATTCATTGTTGTACATTTCTCCCCTCCCAACCCTCTGCCCCTGGAACACTACCCTCTTGGAAAAGTAAAAGAAAAATTCTTTCATTGTTTTACAAACTCTCCCCCAAGTCCACTCCACCATGTAGCCTTCGCTCTAGACTCCTGTCATGACAAAAATACCTAATC